GCTCGTATTCGACTTTTCCGCTTTGCTCGTGGACAACCTTAATTGAAATAGCTTATATAATATAATATATATAATATTTAACAAATATAAAACATTTTCCGTGTTGATATACAGTTATATCAACACGAGTGGAATTGGGAAAACGAGAAATTGTATGGAAACACGACGCCCGAAGGGCGGAGTGTTTTCATACAATTTCGAGTTTTCCCAACTTCCACGAGTGTTGATATAACTATATATCAATACGGAAAAATGTTTTATATTTTTTTTATAATATAGCAATGTCAAAAGCCCGAAGGATGAGAAAAATTTCCGTCTTTACGAGCGGCGGAAAATTTCCGGTGTTGACATTGAGTTATATCAACACGGCTCTTAGCCAATCAGCGTTCACAATTTACAAATGCTATATTATAAAATATTATATATATATATATATATATATATATATATATATATATATATATATATATATATATATATATATATATATATATATATATATATATATATATATATATATATATATGTATATATATATATATGTATATATATATATATGATAGTTTTGGAGTTGAAGCTGGTCTAAAATTCTTTTTAAAATACTAGAATATGTACAATAAAAAGTCTAAAAAGTTCTAAATTTTCGGTTGCTAACTGCAACCTTCATCAGAGTACTAAGAGCAGTTCGGATAGTTCAAGGTTTTTAAATATCGTCATTATTGCCACATGATTGCACAAGCGATAAATACATGCGTGGGAATTCTTTGTGTTCGTTAATTGTTTTATTGTCTAATATTGAATGCATCGACTCGAGGAACGTTCGTTTTTCTAAATTATGTACTCTTTTCTCTAAGATTGTAGCATTGTTAATCGAGGCATTGTGTCCTGTGCTTTCTGCGTGGTCTTTGATTGCTGACTTAATCTCCGGTCTTACGCCTGGTTTGTGTTCTGCCCAACGTGATTTCCACGACCTCTTACTTTCTCCAACATACTTAAATGAGCAATCTGGACATTCGAATTTATAAACAATGCCTTTAATCTCCGTGATCTTCTGCTTGTCTTTTGGTTTACCAAAAATGTCCCCTAAGCTTGGCATGGGTTTATATATTGTCTTAATACCAGCACTTTTAAGCAGCTGTTTTATCTGTTCTGATATGCCTTTCATGTATGGAATACAAGATAACCCTTTTAATTTCCGGTTCGTCATTAGTGTTGGAAAACGACCTGCTGGAACTTGTCTGGAAGATGAATTTCTCTGGATATCCGTTGAGCTTTAATTCTTGGATAACACATTCCTTTTCTTGCTGTTTTTTATTGTCAGTAGAAGGAATGCTGTCGGCTCGATCAAGTAAGGTCTTAACTACGGCTCGCTTACTTTGGGTGGGATTATGAGAGGGAAAGGATAGATATTTATTGGTATGTGTATCCTTACGGTATACACTTACTTCAATGGTACGGTTTTTAAGAATTGTAATGTGGGCATCAAGGAAAGAAATTGCTTCACCGTGGTTTGATTCTGATGGCAATTCAATTGTAAACTGAATGTTTTTGTTGATAGTGTTCAGGTGGGTGTGGAATTGTTCAATGTCACTTTTGCGTAGACATGAATTGAGTCGTCAACATACCTTCGCCACCAGCGTACTGGGACAGGTGACGTGTTGATGGCAATTGACTCTATCTCTTGCATTACTATCTCAGCTATGACTGCACTAACAGGTGATCCCATGGCGCATCCTGACTTCTGATGATAGTGTGTCTCATTGAATTTAAAGTAACAATTGTTAAGTAGGAATTTTAATAGTTTCACAACTTGTTCTTCTTTCAGTGCTGTATGTGACTTCCATGAATCAGTTTCTTTAAGTTTCTTTTGTATAATATGCAAGGCAAACGGAACAGGTATGGATGTGAATAAGGACACAACATCAAAAGAGACGATCGTTTCATCCGTCCCTAACGTTTGACTTTTGGCAAAATCAACGAATTCTTTCCCATTACTTATAGAAAACTCGTTTTTTGCGCAAAAGGTCTTTAACAATTTTGCAAGGTATTTTGATAGGGAATATGTAGGTGAACCAATGTTGCTGTTAATTGGACGTAAAGGAATGACGTCGTGGTCTTGGTTGCAGATGAGAGACACTTTATGGACTTTTGGCAAACCATAAAATGTAGCAGGGGAAGAATCAAAAGCTCGTAGCTGCCAATATTCTCTATCAGTTATGTTTCCCGAGCGTCGAAGCTCTTTCAGTATATTCTCTAAGTCAGTTTCCGTCCGTTTGGTGGGATTTCTTCTCTTATCGGTGATGCGTGTATAAACTGTTTGATCTCCAAGCATCTCGTTTACTTGTTCAGTATATTTTGCCTTATCCATTATAACCACAGCATTTCCTTTGTCAGCTTTTGTTATGATAATCGTGTCCTCTGACTTCAAGTCTTTAACTGCTTTCCTTTCGCCCCGAGTTAAATTCTGTGTTGAGAGGGGTTTAGCATGTTTCAAAATTGAGAAGACGCCAGCTCGTATGTCGTTTTTTGCTTCTTCTGTAAGATCCTTGATACCTTGTTCAACCGACGCTAGTATTTCTTTCTTTGGTACACGTCTCGGAGTTCCGACAAAATTTAGACCCTTTCTTAACAAATCTATTTCGTTGTTGGACAAATTTCGCTGTGAGACATTAACGACCCATTTGTTCATGATGCTATTTTCACTGTCTGATGTTGAACGCCAGCGTGACTTTTTCTCGTGTCTTTCTATAATAGTGCTTCTCAAGTGACCACACCGACTACGGCGACTAGAGATTGCTTGGTCCAACTTCGATAAGCTGTCTTGATCGACCATTGTTGACAAGGTCTTGGTCAATTCTGTAGATTCGTTCCTTAGACTAATAAGTTTATGATGACAATTGCTTATCAAAACACGAAGGTAAGACCACCCGGTCTTTCTTGCGATTGCCCACGCTTTTGGATGGTTTATCGGTGGTTTAGCCAAAAGAAACGGTGGTAGATGATTTTGTTCTTTGCAAATGTGTAAATATCGTAGGTGTTGTTGGTTTCGTACTTGTGACAAAGATATTTGTTCTAATCGTCTTGCTCGAAGCAACGTATCACGTTGGGCAGAACACAAACCAGGCGTAAGACCGGAGATTAAGTCAGCAATCAAAGACCACGCAGAAAGCACAGGACACAATGCCTCTATTAACAATGCTACAATCTTAGAGAAAAGAGTACATAATTTAGAAAAACGAACGTTCCTCGAGTCGATGCATTCAATATTAGACAATAAAACAATTAACGAACACAAAGAATTCCCGCGCATGTATTTATCGCTTGTGCAATCATGTGGCAATAATGACGATATTTAAAAACCTTGAACTATCCGAACTGCTCTTAGTACTCTGATGAAGGTTGCAGTTAGCAACCGAAAATTTAGAACTTTTTAGACTTTTTATTGTACATATTCTAGTATTTTAAAAAGAATTTTAGACCAGCTTCAACTCCAAAACTATCATGTATTATCATGTATTCCACTGGTCGCCCCAACAGCATATATATATATATATATATATATATATATATATATATATATATATATATATATATATATATATATATATATATATATATATATATATATATATAAAAACAAAAAAAACCAAATCGTTGCCACAATAAGAGCGTTGTATACGAAATTGAATGCCTGCATTGCAATAAAGTTTATATTGGTGAAACTGGTAGGACAATTGGCACGCGCATTAAAGAACATTTGACCATGAATAAGCAAACCATGTACAAACATATTGAATCCCACAGGAGTAACGAAGATGACATGCCAATTATAACTTGGAGAATCCTACATTCCAACATAAACAATGATGATGAGCGTAAGTGCATTGAGGCGTTTGAAATTAAGAAAAGAGCGGGGAACGTAATAAACGGATGCATTGGTAGAACAATTGACATTTAAAATATATATTCTGCATGATACGCTTGAATAACAACATTTTAAATTTTCGCTCGTTATTGTCCACATTCCACCCTTTTTATTTAAATTTAGTCTAGCTTTGTAGTATATATTCAACGGACGTGATCTAGTTATAACATTCCCCTGAAGAAGCCTTAACCGGCGAAACGTTGGGACAAAATTTTTAAATTTTTTATTGCCTGTAGAAGTCTTTTTTAATTTTTTAAATAAAAAAATTATATTCATATATATATATATATAATATATATATATATATATATATATTAGAACGAAGGTTGTTTTGTTGACATTTCTATGCCCATGATAAAAAAATGGGAAGCGTTCTTTGAGAAGCGTAAAACTACCGTATGTATAAGAATTAATGCCTCTCTCTAATAGGCGCTCCAGGCGTTTTTTAGATCATACACCAGGGCTCAAGCTTTTTTACGTATGAACGCACGACAGCAAGGCAGGCCTATATAGGTCGTTGCAGCTGCGCATAGGCAGAAGTCAAAAGCTTTGAATAAGCAAATTTTATATTTAGTTATATCAGTTTTAAGCACAAAATTTACGAAGTTCTCAAAATGGTTTATGATAAAACGAGCGTTTTAAACTTTGTCAGGTCCTACTTTCATTTCACTCCTCTTTAAAGAATAATTTTTTCCTTTAAAGCCAAGCCAGAAAACGCCTTTCATTCCTTCGTTGTGAACACTTCCTAGATATCTACCATTCAAGTCTGCAGTCGAACATGAATTATACCACCATGCGCTTTCCTTGTTTGTAGCGCAGTTAGCAGCCCTTCTCTCATCATTGTCAACGTCCCGAGTGGTGAATTTCATCCCATTGTTGACTGCTAACGAATCACCTGCTGTCCCTGTAAAGCAAATATTCAGCAAAAAGTCACTCAATATTACCGAAATCAGTAGAGTGTCTTTTCCGGAAGTTGTAAAGACAGTCAGAATGGCGTAGCAAACGTTCATGTTTTTTGACGTCACGGTGAAGGAATGCAGCTTGAAACTTGTATGTTATTTTACTTATTAGGAACTTTATTTAGTTTGCATTTCTCCCCCCAGTGCCTTCCCACGAACAAAGGTTCTCCCTTTGCTAGAAAGCTTGTTTTGAGCTTGGAGAGCCATTGGCAATTTGTCAAACTAAATAAAGTTACTAAATAAGTATAATAACATACAAGTTCCACGCTGCATTCCTTCACCGTGACGTCATAAAACATGAACGTTTCTACTGGCTTCTGACTGTCTTTTCAACTTCCGGAAAAGACAGTCTACTGATTTCGGTAATAATTCATAAATATTTTAGCCGATCAAGTCACCCAATGTATGTCACGTGTAGTTTCTGTCGGTGTTATTTCCTTTAATTTTACTATTTAATGTTACAAAAAACACGCGATTTTACTTAAACTTCTGAAAATGACTTTACATTTTTTATTGTTTATCGAGTTTCTCACTCATTGATGAGGATGTTGTCCATTTGATAGGGGATCCGAGGTACCCGCGGTTTTAACGTACTTATCCGAGAAGACGCAAAAGTCTAACCATTTTACTGATGTCAATGTAAAGGTAGCACTTTCTCTTCAATTATTTTAAGACCTTCAGTAGAGGTCCGACCAAGGATTGAACCCGGTCTCTCAACTTGGAAGGCAGGCGTGTGGTGTCCACGACATCACAATATTGTTGTACTGGCTCAAAATTAAGTGCTGTAAAACTTAAAGGGGCACTGTCATCAAAATTTTTATTTTCTTAAACGAAAATGCTCTTAAAACTGTATGGTAACTTGTTTTGAAGATTTTTGTTCCCATGCTTAGTACTTGAGATATTTCATTTTGTTTCGAACCATGTGACGTCATTTACTCAATTACATATATAATGACATATCAGTAATTCTTGTGTATCTTTGCTATTTTTTATCAAAATCTTTCAAAAGATGCGGCGCGTTTGTTAGTTTAACCTACGTCATTAAGGTTACAGGACACCCTTTTTGGCGTGTTGCGGAAAATCGCTACTGCGCGCTCAATATCAGTCCGATTTTCATCAAATTTTCACCAAATATTCTCCAGTGCATGCAAAATATGGTAAAGTTGTAAAATTAACAAACAACAAAATAATGTAAGAATTATTCAGGAAAATCTTAAATCGCGGTACCGTTACGCTTTTGAGTTGTGCTCCTGCTGGTTTTAAGTTATATTTATGAAAATATCATTTTTATACAGTAAAATAGTTGTTCTAAAAAATTGTGTTCGGAAATTTTTGTTTATTTCGTCATTCCGCTGATATGGCGATTTCTTTGACGACTGCAATATATTTCTGAATTGTTTGAGTGAATTGCTCTTTATTTTTAAAATACCCAAAATTACAAAAAAGCCGAACACAATTTTGAAATTGACGTATTTAGCTATGTCCTGTGAAAATTTGAGAAAAATTGGTTAAAACCCGCAGGAGCATAACTCGTTTGAAAATCAGTAATTACCGTAAAATTTTTCGTGAGAAAATTGAATTTGAATATTACATTTTCAATGTTTTTCTTATTGCAGCGAAATGTATTTTATTAAATAACTCTGCGAGTTTTCAACATTTTTCGTTCAAACTTGGTCAGATAGTAGAACTAGTCTAATGCTTTCATTGAAACCAATAAAAAAATTTTAGGCAAAATTAACACTCAAAGGTGTTCTGTAACCTTAAGCATACTGTTTTTATAAACAAATTCATCAAAAATAGCAAAGATACACAAGAATTACTGATATCTCATTATATATGTAATTGAGTAAATGACGTCACATGGTTACAAACAAAATGAAATATCTCAAGTACTAAGCATGGGAACAAAAATCTTCAAAACAAGTTACTATACAGTTTTAAGAGCATTTTCGTTTAAGAAAATAAAAATTTTGATGACAGTGCCACATTAACTTACGCTTTTAATCAGATCGAGTAGTCAGTAATTTTGTTATTTTCTTAATTAAGCAATACCGATCGGACTCAGCAGTCAGTTAACAGTTATTCTGCGCGAGATTCTGCGAACTCGAGTCGTATATGAGCTGATAGCCGACGAGGTGCGTAGCACCGAGTTGGCTATCAGTCTTATACGACGAGAGTGAGTAGAATAACTGTTTTATTATGTAGACAACTACTGCATTTACAGACTCTTCATTGTGGCAATACTTTGACAATTAGTTTGGCAATTCACACAACTCGGCTTAGCCTAAATCTGAGTCTGAGAAAACATTGCATTGCTAGTTTTTTAAATCCGTACTTAATATTTTTTAAACAAAACAAGTGCTTGTTGACTTTACTTCAATAAAGAATTTTTGCTTTGAAATCAGTTTTGTCAAAAAAATTATATTCTGATTTCTGTACATGTTTTTCTTTGACTTTGCTCTTTCGGCATTATTTTTTCAAAATTACATTTTTTAACCAGTTTAAATATAAAAAAGTATTTGCTGACTTGTAAAAAGTTGCTGGGAGTTTTTCATTGTGTTTTTATTCCCGTTAAGGCTATAAAAAGCGAATAACTTCCTGTTTTCACGTTCGCAAAAGTCCGGTTATTCTTGCGCCGCCATCTTGTTTCCTCTACTAGCAGGAATGCAGGATATGAGCTAATATCCTGCTAGTAGAGAGCCAATCAGATTGCAGAATAGCTTATATCCGGTAGCTGTCTAAATAAAAATTATTATTACCTGAGTAGTTACCAACATTCAAAATGTAAGCGTTGCTTTCATTTCCCACAGAAAATGATTCATAAACTGCATAAGCAGCCTCGTTTTCAAAACTTCCGAGATCAACTCTCAGTACATTCTGCCCACTGGCTGTGAGACGATGAATCTTGTCCAAACCAAGCCAAAATTCACCAGACAAATCGCCAAATCCAATTTTGTAACCATACCACTGTCTGTAGAAGCTTAGAGACCCATCTACACGTCTTTGGAATATAGTCCAGCCCCTCCCTGAAGTACTAGTTGTTTCCATATCACAACGAACAGCAAAAGCTCCAAGGCCGTCCGGGTCGATTGTATTAACCCCTGTGGTTGTTTCCATATCACATCGAACAGCAAAAGGTCCCAGGCCATCCGGGTCGATTGTATAAACCCCGGTCGTTGTCTTGCCGGATTTGTACAAGTCATCACAACTTTTTGCTAAGAAAAAGTGAATTAATAAATCCATGTTTGATAATCTAACCTCAACCTAACCTCAACCTCACTTCAGCCTTAACCTGACCTTAAGGTGGCTCCCTACATTCTATAGAAATGTTGACAATGCATAAATTAGATCACGTCTTTGAAGGGATGTTGTTTGCTAGAAAGTCAAAAAATGTACGCCATATGTAAAGCAGCAATCAAACAGTTGGAATTTGGTTGCAAAAATGACGTCACTACTGTTGCTATGGCAACAATGACGATTCAAGACGGCCAATATTTTGGCTTTTAACCCACTTTACTTTAAAAAACGTCTGGTTGCCCCCATTTTTATTTCGGAAAACATATTCATGTAGTACAATAAACTATCGGACTAATTATAAAAAATTCTACAGAATTTTTTAAAACTTGGTCAGATAGTTCATTGTACTACAAGAAAATGTTTCTGAAATAAAAATTGGGGGTAGCCAGGCGTTTTCAAGCAACAATCTTTAAAAAGTTTGATTTGAGGACCGGTCATAAAGTAACAGCTAGAGTGGGGCGGTGGGAAAATAGGTTTTCCAAAAAAAACCGGTGGCCCATCCTAGAAAAAATTTCAGAGCCCATAGTTATTAGTAGGTCATTCGAAGGTCAATTTCACGACCCATCCTGCTATACATGAATATGTACAGTATAGTAGTCACTTTGATGAAACCATTTGTTATATTGAATGTTGATTCTTTTAATAGGAATGTTGTGTGGTAGTCATAGTATATGTATTGAGTGCAAACAGGTCATATTTGTTCCATGGCCCATCCAGTCCATCGCTCCTTATTTCCTACCAATAATTACTTGATGACCGGTCCCTTAATTCATGGTTTTCTCCTATTTTTAAATTGTAGGGAGCCACCTTAAACTTAACGATTCCTCTCTTTGTGAAGATAAATTTGATTCAAGTCATTCTACCATAATTTACAGGTTCTTCTACTTGTTCTTGTTCTTCTACTTTTTTTATTTTTTCTATTTTCTGCAATTGAAAAATAAATTTAATTACTTTTGGAAATGTTACGTTATAACAAAAATATAACGCTCTTATATAGCTACTGCACATTTCGTTTTACTTTTAAAAGAATATGAACGTTTATGGCATGCCCAATTGTTATAATACTTGTTGTTCGACGTTCATAGAAAATCTATAAAAATACCTTTT